ATTATTAATTCAATACCAAAATAGTAGATGTCTAAAATAACAAAATTAACTTCCTAAAAGTAGTTCAATTTAGTTTGCTTAAATTATTTTCTAGTTTAGTTTAGTTTAGATTGAGTGAATAATTTTTTTTTTAGTTCAATTCAATTCTCTTAGTTTAATTCAATAGTTTGAACACACATAATTTTAATTCAAGTCACGGATAAGTTCATTCCTTAAGATAATTAATTTACAAAACTCACAAATAAGTTCCTTCATTGAGTCCCATATGATAAAATAAAATACAGGGATTGTTCTATACCTCCTTAATACCAAGATCAATTCTTATTAATGAATAAAAAAAGTCATGACTTACATGTGTATGAAAATGAAATGATTAATTAAAACTTAAAAATTATGGGGTATATATGTTATTAAAAGCACTTCCTACAGAAAGTAATATTTTTAGTTAATTAACTGTGATGCATAGAATTGGTGAAAGGGAGAAGGGGAACCTAAAATACACCACCAACCCTGCACTCAAAAGCATTAAAAGACGTGACACGAGGGAGAGGAGACTAGAATGAATCCTGTGGAAAAATCACTTGAAGCTCAATGAAGGAACTTATTCGTGAGTTTTGTAAACTTTTATGCTTTCCTTTTCGTATAATAAATGCTATTAATATTGAAATGCTCTTGCTTTTATAAACACAACTTGTACTCTAAGAACACTCATCCATGTGGCATGTGGAAAAAGTGCATAGTAATGTGCCAATTAGGTGTCTCTCCGTACCTTTAGCATATTTTTCAGCTGATTTCCATGTTACACACTACAGCCAAGGTTAGCTATAGTATTTTATTTTTGGAGCAAAGGTGATTTTATCATGGAATTCCTGATCGAGTCAATGATACCAATAACTATGGAAGAATCCATCACAAAAACTAGTTAATGTTCTTGGTGAGTTTAAAGCCATTTCACACTATATTTTTATACTTTTAAATGTGAGATTCAAATCACGTATTTTATAATTGAATCTTAATTTCTCACTACACTCATTCTTAATATTCATTTGTAATTGAAAATATGATAGAAGATTGAATTAACATAAAAAAAAATTTTAAAAAAAATATTTAACATAACTACATAACTAAAATTTAAATTTAAAATTATTGGTTAAAAAGAAATAATTTTCTCTTTGATCCAGGCACTCACTTGTACACTAGCTAGTGTATTGGATTGGTGATAGAAAGCCGTATTATTTAGGATAAAAATGAGAAATCATTACTAAAATTAGTAATCGAGCTTACTTATATCAGTATAATATATACGTATGGAAAAATTATTTTATTAATATAACTATTGTTGCTTTAGATTTATAATTTCATGCACTTATTATAAAAATGAGATAAATTATTTGGTTAAGAAGAAATTTAATACTTGTTTCACCTTCACTTAATACTTACTTTCATCTCCGTTCTACTTAATAATATAATTACAAAATTATCTTTATATATATATTAACCAAAAAGAATATAAAAATTTGTATTATATTTTTAATTTTTTTAATTTTTTCATATTCATTAAAAATAGGGGAAAAAAAAGTCCAATAATTAGGACGAGGTGGGAAAACTTGAAGGGTATTGATGACAAGGACAGGGGCGGGAGCATAGCGGAAAATATAAAACTCGTTCTTGTTGTCATGCCTATTTAATTTTCACCTATTTTTCTTTAACTAAACAATCAAATTTGTCTTTATTTCTTATCTATTTCTTACTTATTTTTTTTTTCTCATTTTACTGAACACAAACTAAGTGATAATCTACACAAATCACGAAACATACAATGCACACGTGATACATATTAATTAATTTCTTATGGGATTTGTTTACAAGTTATAAACATTTTAATCACGGAAATGATATTCTTATAATATAATGACATTTCAGAGTATTTTTTAAAAAAAATGTATTTGGGATAATGTTGAAAATGTTTTAATGAAAGTAAGTGGAGAGGAAGTTACAATTTGTAGGTAAATGTCTATAAAGTAATTGTAGCATCATGAAAATTAACTTACATCAATTCTTAGAAATAGAAGCAAGAGAATATAAAAGTTCTTTTTTGCTTGAAAGTGTTATTGAAATAAAATTTTAATCTTTCAAGAAATATAGAAAAACATATTTCTTGTCCATGTATTTCTAAAAATATTGTAAGACAATTTGAAATAAACAAACTTAAAAGACTTTTTAATTAATTTAAAGCATTGTCTTTTTAACCAAAAAGGCTTTTAAAAAAATCTTTACATAATTTATTTCATAGTTATTTTGATCGAATCGATCTGAAACAGGCTAGGCTATACAAACCTAATTTTATCTTATTGTTTACACTATAGATACCTATTAGTCAACTTATTTCTACCTTTACTCATGATAACAATAATTTGAATTTAAAAGATTATAAAATCTAAAATACCGCTCTCTCTTTTATGCTATGTTTTATAGAAAAGAAGGAAGTAAACATAAAGAATCTAAAATAAATAAAAATCATAATTAATTATTTATTGCAACACATAATTGGTATCAGCCGTTGAAACATTAAAAACAATAACGTAATCAATTATGTTGCAACATAATTGTATTCTTTACATTTTTCATATATTTTTCCTTTATTCTTCTTCATTAAATTTTAACACTAATTTTAAGGGTGACAAAATGGGTCAGTCTAGCCCGTTTTAGCCTACCTATTAATAGCCGCTAATGAAAAACGGGTTGGAAACGCTGGCTCGCCCCGCCTAAGGACAGGCTGGTGGGTCAACTTTCATACCACAAAAAAATTATAAAAAAATATAAAATAAAATATTTTATGTTCAAATAAAAAAAATTACTATAAATAAATATAACCATATGAAATTAAAAATGCATACATATTGTACATAATATATGTTTATCAAAAGCAAATTACAAACTTAGAACAAAAATCAAATAAAAATTAGTCCACTTACACCAAAATCAAAACTAAATTATAAACTTACAAATGACTAATAATCTAATTTTTTTGATAGTCCACAAAATAAGCCCATTACTTATGCAAGCAACTGAAACCCAATTACTTATGCGAGTTGGCAGGTTGTGACGGGCCAACCTGTCATTTGACCCGACGGGTTGACGGGTTTAGCAGATTGGCGAGTTAAAATGATGGGCTTAACCCGCCAATTTTTGGCGGGCCAACAGACTGGCCTACGGGTCACAACCCATTTTGCCATCCTTAATTAACTCTCCTTTCCTTTCCTTCCATTTATTTTATGTCCCCCAAATTTAGCTTCAAGTTTTATAAGAGATTATTTTGAAACCAAAAGAGAGAAAAATTATAAAGTGAATAGATCGATAGAGTTAAAAGTAAAAGTCTTGTATGCATTTAAAAAAAAAGTAAAATTCTTCTTCTCCAAAACGAGTATAAAAATTTATAATATAGAAATAAATTACTTCTTATTCCTCTTATAGAAAAAATTTAAGAAATTTATTTTGATAATTTTTGTAAGATATTTTCTAAATTATATATTGTATTTATTTATTTTTATACAAAACATCCTTAAATGAAAATATATTATTTGATTAAGTGAAAGGAGATTAATAGAAAAAGATATCAATATTTTAAAGAATAACTTAAAAAATATAATTTATTGACAATTTTAATTTCACTCACTAAATTAATTTTTAATTCTTGTAAAGTAGTTAAAACTTAAAAGAGTCTAATATTAAAATAATACCAACTTCATATTTAATATAAATATTTTTCTGACAATTCAATCAAACGGTAACTTCACAACAACAAATTAACCACGGCCATAAAAAAAAAAAAAAGATAAAATAAGCACGTTTAAAAATCAACCTTTTATTTTTTTATTTTTAGAATGAACTTATAGAAACAAATTCAATGAGGATATCATTTTTTATTTCTCCACTTGAATATTCATTTCTATTATGTCTTGAATATTCGTCTGTTTGAAATTGAACAAACCTACCGACGATACACCATAGACAACGCTAGGAAAGCACGTATTCCATTATTCCCTGTCCTTTTTTGTTTTTTATTTATTTTGGATACATCTCTGTTATAATTTCTAATTTCTAATACACATATCGTAGCGATAATAATAATTGAATCCAAAGCAAATACATAAATTCCTTCTGCACCTTAACCCATGAAAATACTGAAAGCAATTGAAAACATGTGGAAGGGATATATTTGCCATTTCTGAAATCAACACAAAATAGAAACGCTAACAATAATAATGGGCCCAAGGCAAGGCCCACAAGAAATAGTGTAACACTGTAACGTAACACATTGATTGAAGACTTGGACCAAGAGAAGCATAGAGCCAAAAATAAAACATAAATATGCTTTTCTTCTTTAAGCTTTGCTCGAATTTTATTTTTAAGTCTTTTGAACAATTATTTTTTGTTAATTTTATTTCTAAAACTGTATTATTTTAATCTTTGAATTTTTTCATCTATTAATATTTTTTTCCACATATCAAGATTTTTGTAAATAAAGAAAAACTTTAAAAACTAAAATCAACTAAAATTTGTTCAAACATTAAAAAAAAAAAATTGACAAAATTTTATAGATAAAAAATATATTTAATATTTAGTTTCATTTTTTGTCATCCAAAGTTTACGATCTTACAAAATTTGTCAATAAAATTTTCATTTTATTATCTCATTAACAAATTATTTATCTCTATTAGTTGTATTAAAGTGTGATTGTGTATTTATCACATCATCATTTATAAACGATTAATATACTATGTTATTAGTTAGTGAAGAAGAAAAAATGATTAATTATCACTATTTGAAAAATTAGATAATTATAGCTGCTAAAAAAATAATGACTAAGTAGAAAATAAAATAATAAAAATAATAAGAAGAAGCAAATAAATAATAAATAAATGAAACTTATTGGAATGTTTTTACCAAACTACCGAACCAACAACTGCTCTCTCGCTTATAAGTCACACAATAACTGTTGCTTAACGCCTCTCCCAGAGGAGCCTCCACCCCCACACACTCTTGGCGTTTCTCATTCTCATCAAAAACCAAACAGATTTTTTTTTCTCTCTCTCTCTCTAGCTTTCTCTCACTACCTTCTTAATGGAGAGTCCTCATTCGCTCTCTCCCTCTTCCTCGTCCTCCTACTCCTCCGACGGCGTCGGCTTCGAGACGGAGGAGCCGCGGACGCCGCTGGCCGTGCGCCGCGCGCTGCAGCTCCTCAGCTCCGGCGACCCCGACCTCCGACTCCAAGCCGCGCGCGACATACGCCGCCTCACCAAGACGTCCCACCGCTGTCGCCGACAGCTCGCCGAGGCTGTCGGTCCGCTCGTTTCCATGCTCCGAGTCGACTCGCCCGAGTCCCACGAACCCGCTCTCCTCGCCTTGCTCAACCTCGCCGTCAAAGACGAAAAGTACCTTACACCTCTCCTTTTTTTAATTAACCTAATTTTTTTTTAAAAAAAAAGCGATAAATCATTAAATCATAAGTCTGTCTAATTATATTTTTTATATGGAAATGAAATCCCTAGATAATTAACTAATTGGATTTTTCGTGTGCGTGAGTGATTAATTTATTTATAGTGGGTTTTATTATTTATTTATTTTTCTGGTTTTTGTTAGTTGTTGTTTGACGTGGGTTTTTGTTTTTGATTCTGGGAATTCGGGCGCTTTATGAAACGTATGCGATACCTTGAAGCCATCGAGTTGGGGAATCGATGTGAAATTGAAATAAAATAATGTCAATTTGGGATTTGGTGTATTTGTATAATACAGTAGTATAATATATGGTATATTTGGTGTAATTGTAATTGTGATTTGGTGTATTTGTATAATTCTGATTCTGCTTCTGATTCTGTCTTTTTTCTGTCCCCTCAGTTTCCTTTTCTTACTTTTATATTTTTGGGGCGGGATGATTGGGTTTTCGTTTTTATAATCTACCTAGATATTTGTTAGGAAAGACGATGACGATGGATGATATGCTTTTCTTTTTCCTTGGTGGGAGGGAGGGGTAGTTAGTTACCATCTTAGACAGAAAATAAGAAAAACCACTTTATCATGCCTTAGAATGGAAGAGTCACATATTTCTGTGGTTGATTCAATTCTTTAAAGCATTTTTTTTATATTAAGGGAAATTGAACTAATAATTGGTATTTTTATCGGTATAAATTGAAGGTATTACCAGGTTACAACGATTCACGCGCACACTGCATATTAATGATATTTATCTTTTATATTATTAATGATAATAAATTTTGTTAATAATAATAATAATAATAATTTTGTGTGTTGTGATGAGTATTATTCTGTCATCTTGTGAATTCTAGAATGTGAATTACGTTGCTTTGGGATGATAATTGCTTTTGATGGCTGAAATGCATGCACACTAATGCTATATCACAAGAAAGAATTGGATGCTTTTTGTTGTTGAAACTTATCCGATTGCGAGGTGGATTTCCTTTGTTTCACATGGTGCTCTTTCTTTTTACCTTTTGTTTCTTTTCCTTTTTCGCTCATGTCTTATTCCGGAAGTAATCTTTATACCATTTATTGCTCATTGCTGCGGCTCAAGTTTCACCTTCTAGCAAAAGGAATAGTTGTAATTACTTTTTGCCGTCGCTTCTAGTTGGTAACTAAATACAGTATTTGCAGGAAGCAGCGCTAGTTAAAACATTTGAATTAGATATTGGTCTGCTTAGTCTGAATATGGTCATCTAGATGATGAATAATGCCGTGTTTATCAGATACGGAAATCAAAATAGCAAATGGGTTAAAAGAAGAAAGCTATTAGCATGCCTTGATGACTTTTAGGATATATATAAATGAGAGAATTCTAGTTATTATCTTATTTTTCCTCAACGCTTTAAAAATAGTGATGTAATATGATTAAAAAAAATACTGATGTAATAACTGTATGCTTAATTTTTCTAGCGATGGTTCAGATCTCCGCATTGAACGTGATTGTCGACCACTGAATGGCTTTTTACCAACTCCTCTCTTTAGTTTTGTTCAAGTGGGTTGAAAATGGGAAGGGTAAAAGAGTGGGGTAGAAAGTTTTGATTTTTACTCATTGTTGCTTGGTCAGAGGGTGGAAAATCACTTTCGTGCCGTAGGAGTGACCAGAATTTGTGGGCTTGAGTATAAATGAGTTGCACTCTTTTCTCACCCTCACCATATTTTTGTTATACCAAAGAATTCCAAATTTCATACCTTCCCATCTTCCACCTATGCAAATAAGCATACCTAAAATTTCTTTTTTTGGCTCATGTTTTAATGCATGATTATTGTCAATCTAAATCCTTTTGAGAAGAGATGACGGTACTTCTCTTGTGTTTACCTATATCTATTCCCTCCCTCCCACTCTATCTTATTTCTTTCTCATTCCTGGGACCTTTAGCAAGGTGTTTTGAGCCAGCATCACTGATTTGATGTGGTGCCTAAATTGTCCTATAATAGAGAGGTCATTGACTTGATAAGTGAGCCAGCAACATGGACAAGTCCGTGCTTAGCAAGAAATAAATGACATAATAGCTAACCACCACAAGAGGGTTAGACCAGGTGAATCAAATATAATTTTACTCTGGCTTACATCAATAGTATTATTGTTTCCACATTGTAGCATGACATGATGTCTCTTGCGGCCGGATTGGATATCTTCCAGGTTGTGATTGAATATAATGCCATTAACTAGAGAATCAACTCCAATTACTAGAAGATACCGGGATTTCAATTTCTTTTGCCTGGCAGATCTGATATTACATTATAAGCCTCATGAACTTGTAGCAGTTAATCATGAACTAAATGTTGGCTTGTTTGTTGTATCCTATGATCTTTATTTTATTGTGCTACCATTATACAATTATCAACCAGTTAGTCCCTTTATTTCTTTTTGCAGTTCAGATGTTTCAGTTTCAGTGGTGATTAACTTTTTTGCTAGATAATCCTTTTAGTCCTGATTCAGTCGTATTCAGTACTTGAACTGGTCTTATCTTGCAGGAATAAAATCAGTATCGTGGAGGCCGGTGCATTGGAACCTATAATTAGTTTCCTCAAATCTCAACATCAAAATCTGCAGGAGTCTGCAACTGCATCTTTGCTCACACTATCTGCCTCTTCAACCAACAAACCAATTATTAGTGCTTGTGGTGCCATTCCTCTTCTTGTGGAGATCCTTAGGGATGGAAGCCCCCAAGCTAAAGCTGATGCAGTAATGGCTCTCTCTAATTTATCAACATACCCTAATAATCTCGGCATCATTCTTGAGACAAACCCAATCCCTTTCATAGTTGATCTTATTAAAACCTGTAAAAAATCCTCAAAAACAGCTGAAAAATGCTGTGCTTTGATAGAATCCTTGGTGGAGTATGATGAGGGAAGAACTGCCTTGACATCGGAAGAAGGCGGGGTTCTTGCAGTTGTGGAAGTCCTGGAAAGCGGCACTCTTCAAAGTAGGGAGCATGCGGTTGGAGCACTGTTGACAATGTGCCAAAGTGATCGATGTAAATACAGGGAACCAATTCTTAGAGAAGGTGTCATTCCAGGACTTCTAGAACTTACTGTTCAAGGAACACCCAAGTCTCAAACAAAAGCACGTACCCTCTTGCAGTTACTGAGAGAGTCTCCTTATCCGAGATCTGAAATTCAACCTGACACGCTTGAGAATATAGTATGCAACATCATATCCCAGATTGATGGGGATGATCAATCTGGTAAAGCTAAGAAGATGCTTGCTGAGATGGTCCAAGTCAGCATGGAACAGAGTCTGAGACATTTACAGCAGAGGGCTCTCGTATGCACACCAAGCGATCTTCCTATAGCTGGCTGTGCTTCTGAAGTTTCTTCAAAATGATAGTTGCCGCTGGCCAAATCTGTCTATTTTTTTTTTGGTCTTTTCACTTGGGTTTGTGAGATAAACTTCCATAGTAAACAAAAAAGGCAAAAAAAAAAAGGAATAATACATAGTGAGTATGCCAGTCCAGGCCGATGTGGAGGTATCGAGTGACTGGTAATTGTCAATAAAGTAAGTTCTCAATGGTAAAGGGCATGATTTTGTAGTTGGTTTGTAAAGAAGCTGTTGTATAAAATGACATACAAGTAGTAAAAGCTCTTTATCCAAATTTCTTCCTCTTTTCTGCAATGGCTTGTTTTACAGTTTAACTCTGTTTTAATCGGCATTTGATGGAACGTATTTTTTTTTTTTTTTATTTGGCTGAAATAGTAACACGATAATTGATTTTAAATCATTATAATTATAATTAAATTAAGTTATCCTGAAAATTTTAAATCTGAAACTTGTTATAAAAGTACATTTGATTTTTTTTTTTGTAAATTCTTTTGCTCGGAATATCTTAAAAGGAATTTATCTTTATTAATTTCCTTTTGTTTTTTGTCGTTAACTAAAATAGGTAGAATGAGAAAATAAGTAAATAAATATTATCCATTAAAATAATTGAAATCTAATATACTTAAATACAAGCAAGCTGAGAGATCTAATTATAAAGTCCTTAAATTAAAAAGGTCTCAATTAATTTGAATTGTAATTTAAAATCTTCTAAAAAAATTAATTTAAAAGTATTAATTCCCAATATATTCATACAGAATCTATAGGATGAGTCTAACTTAAATTAAAATTTAAATTACTTTTAAGTTTTTTTTTAAAATTTCATTAGTTTAGTTTAGGCTCTATCATTAGAAGATTTAATTTCATCTCTAAATTTTAAAATGATGTAAGGTTAAAATGACAAGTTAAAATTAAAACAAAACTAACATTTTAACACTGATTAGAGTTTTTTTTTCTTCCAATTTGCTATAAATCGAAAATAAAGTACTTTTTATTTTTGGTGAGGGAAAAATAAAATGTTGCATAACTTTAACTTTGACATGTGAAAATGGGCCAGGGGACAAACCAACCTAGTGATGAAATGTCCCCTAGAGTGACTTGGCTACTTTCTTCTGCATACAAGTGTGACACAATTGTAAAACTATAGTAAAAAATTTAATAATAGAAACCCAAAGTTTATACTTTTTCATTTAACAAAACAAAAACTTTAATGTTTTGTTTGGGATAAGAGGAAACATGGAAAGAAATGCAAAAAAATAGATCAGAATTGATTAATAAAAAATAAAGTAAAATTTGTAATTATTTAATAAAATAAAATAAGATAAAAAAATAGTAATTTAAAATTATATTTTTATTATATATAACCATTATTTAATAGAATAAAAAAATAATTAAAATATATAATTTATCCTTTTCTTAATTTTTTAGCAAATTTCTTCTATTTAAAGAATATTTTTTTCTTTATAAAATTCACATGTATTTATTTGCAAATCTTCATAAATCACTTTCCTTAAACAATCAAGTGTTTTTCAATTGCATCTTCTTTTCTAATCTACTCCGAATGATATTTTGCAAACAGATTTTTAAGAGAGAAAATGAGCATTTGTATATGATATTTAATATTTTCATAAAATAAAAATTATGGAGAGAGTAATTTAAGAAGGAAATGATTTGATTTGCGATGATTGGTTCATAATTGAAAATATGGCAAGGGTGGAATTTTCATTTTTGATTGGACTGAGCGGGCCTTTCTTCCCGAAACACGTTACTTACACGTAAGCATTGAATTCCGTCGTGAGGGCAGGCCTGGCCTCAGTAAGTAGTAGTCAGTAGTCACTAGTGATTGGTGTGAACTATTATTAGACACTTTTCTGATTTGTGGGCGAGCCAGAGTCCAACCCTACTCAGCTCAGAGCAAAGTAACTCACCGTATCACTTCAAATGGGAGATCCAGTGGAGCGATTGGGATCGGAGGCTTTGGACTCCGCCGCCGCCGTCAAGACCGACGACCTTTGCATGGAAATCGATCCGCCATTTCAGGAAAACGTCGCCACTGCCGAGGACTGGCGCAAAGCCCTCAACAAAGTCGTCCCCGCCGTCGTCGTCCTCCGGACCACCGCCACTCGCTCCTTCGACACCGAGTCCGCCGGCTCCAGCTACGCCACCGGCTTCATCGTCGACAAGCGCCGCGGTATCATTCTCACCAATCGCCACGTTGTCAAGCCAGGTCGTTAACCTCCGCGCTCTTGCTTCCTACTTTTTTTTTCCTCCTCCTCGGCTCGCGTTGACGATCTTTCTGTTTCGAATGCGTAGGTCCCGTGGTCGCAGAAGCCATGTTTTTGAACCGCGAAGAGGTTCCGGTGCATCCGATTTACAGAGATCCGGTGAGCGAACTTATTTATTTATTTTTATTTTTCCGTTTGCTGTCTTCGCTTTGGTTTCTCAAAGTGATGGATGCCGTGAACCGATGAATAAATTAGTGATCTAGTTGAATCCTTTCATTCTTTTGATTATTATTTTAGTCATTTATAGATGCATTCTACTTACAACTTCTTTGCTCGAATACTCACTTCACTGTAAACTATGAAGGCAGGGAATTCGCGTGCTATTGCTTTTCAGTTTTCAATAACAAGTGTTTATATCACCAGAACATGTTTATATTGTTGTTACCTGCTTGAGGATCAAGATATTGTTGCTATTCAAATGAAGTGTTTTATCATGTTGAGACACCTTCACTGTTATTGTTTACTTAAGTTCCTTTCGTATTGTTTTTCTTTTGTGCTTTATCATCTTCCATTGCTTTTCTTTTGTGCTTGAGAGTTCTTATTCTAAAACTGTACTTTCTACACGTTTAAATTTTTATAAATAATTATGATGGTCCTCACACTCAAATAGGTACATGATTTTGGGTTCTTTCGTTATGATCCTGGCGCTATACAATTTCTGAACTACGAGGAGATACCCCTTGCTCCTGAAGCTGCTTGTGTTGGACTAGAAATTAGAGTTGTTGGTAATGATAGTGGTGAGAAGGTATTACCCTGAATTCACACATCTAATTTTGTGTCTACATTATGTTAATTGGTTTGAATTTAGATGCATTGGACAAACATGTTTCATTTGATAGTTTAATTCCACTTATTCTCTCCCTCTCTCTCTCTCTTCCCTGTATTCAGTCTTGCATTTTGTTGTTCTTTTTAATTGACTATTGTAGGGCAAAGCTACATGATTTCTATGCTTATATCAATACTCATCAAATGGCTAGCAAGTGATTCTTTTCTTGGCAAATTGACCAAGTCAATATAACATTGTTGCAAAAAGCATAATGATAATGTATGCCGAGAATATTTTTGTTTGCTTTCTTGTCATGATCATGGCCAGTTTTCAACATACATGCAGCTACATCCATTTGTAGTCTTTCATGGTTAAAACTGTTCATCATTGCCACGTGCTTTTTATTGATGTAAAAGAATCATGTATTCTAGTATCACTTTGGTTCTCTTTTTCCCAAAAATTTTGTATAACTATTTTGGCTTTTACTTTCAGGTTTCCATTTTGGCTGGTACTCTTGCTCGTTTGGATAGGGACGCTCCTCATTATTCGAAGTATGTTGTAGAATATCTGTAACTTTTTTGTACATGGCTCTTTTTGTGAACGAGTTGAATTTAGATATTTAATCTATTATTTGATGCAGGGATGGGTATAACGACTTCAACACATTCTACATGCAAGTAAGTGGGAACAAATATTATTTAATTCATTCGTGTTAAAATTTCAAATTACGAGTTTGTTCATTTTTTTTATCTTTTTCCATCAATTTTTAACATTCTTTAATTTCCTTCCTAGTCTGTATTTCAGTTGTTTAGGTGTGTTATAATTTGTCCAATGCATACTAAAATTTTCCTGAGTTTTTTGTTGTTACTTAGAAATGTGGTAATATGGTAGAATTGAAAGCAGGCTTCATTCCTAAAAATGGTAGGAAATGAAAATTAACTTCAAGGGGTTAAAATCACTTGTGCCTTCATTGGGAAACTAAATTCATAGACTGAGTGATTTTTCTGATGTCTAGCCTTTGGCCATTCCTTGATTGCAATCATATATCTACTGATTTTTGCATTTCAGGCAGCATCTGGGACTAAAGGAGGGTCAAGTGGTTCCCCAGTTATAGATTGGCAAGGCAGGGCAGTGGCTCTGAATGCTGGGAGCAAGTCATCAAGTGCATCAGCATTCTTTCTACCTCTAGAACGAGTGAGCCCTTGATATATATTTTTTTTCTGAACTTATCTAAAGCTTCCTGTAGTAATCTAGGAGAAGTACAAATCCTCTAGTGGGACCCATTAATTCAATTATGACAAGTGAATGACTAAATACAGTGATTTACATTTCAGGTTGTGAGGGCATTAAGGTTTCTTCAAAAGGGAAGTGAAACTTTTGTTGATAAATGGAAGGCAGTTTCTATACCCCGTGGTACGCTTCAGGTCTGTCAATTGTTCTCAGCAGATTCTTCTTTTTGTGTTTTTCTCATGATTTAATATTAAACTATTTCATGGTACTGAAGCTTGAATATTTTGTATGCTGCATTACTTTTGAGTTTTGACTATATTAATTTTCTTTTCAATGGAGTTTTCCTTGTAAATTTAAATATTTTGCTGTGGCAAATAACAATAAGTCATCATTGAGTCTGCCGCGTTTATCTGTTAGTCATGTCTTAAGAATCAAAACAGTGTTAAGATATAAAGTTGCTTTCTTTAGGAACTTGGAAGCATTAAGTATAGCTTTTGGTTTTATCTTTGCCATTCAACAGGGCATTTGAGTGGTTATGTTATGTATCATCCTCAGTAAAATCATTCATGGTTCTCTGTTTTGTCTTTCTTATTCCTCAGTCATTGGAGGATTTTGTCTCTACGATTCTTCCTGTTTTTTACCTGGGTTTGATGGAGAGAGTTGTGATTTATTATTTTTTTTGCCTTTCTGTTTATGATATCTCATTTGTAGGCTTGTTATTTATCAGGAAGTTGTTAAAAGAGTAAATATTCTTTATTGATGTCTCTAAACTGATTTATGAGAATAAACTATTTTCGCAAGAGTTGTTATAGATAACTTTCTACACTTGTCCACTTTATTTTTCTTAAATGTCCCTATTGCTAAATTTCTCACAGCACTTATCACCTTTGAGACTGTAGAAACTTGAAATGACGTATTTATTTGGTTGTGGGTGTGTATTTATTCTTTATCTAGACATTGGAAGTGATACTGACTAGTTGTATATTGTTTGAAACTGTTAGTTTGTTCCTC